GGCAACGATCGCAATGCAAACGGACGGTGGCTCATCGAATGCGTCGCAGGATGATTTGGATCACGCAAGGCCGCAAAAGCAACGAAAGCCTGGATCGTGTAGGAAGGTGGGGAAAGCGCGTCTGTTTGCTTGCGGCTGCATATTGCAGGGCTCGAAGAGTCGTGGCTTCTTTAGCGCCGAATGTGACAAAATGAAAAAACGACGAGGCTCATCGAGATTACCAATGCCGCATTTCAGACGTGAAAGGTCGAGTTCAATACGGATGCACGCCAAGGGTCAAGTTGTACAATCGTGTTTCTGCGCAATAACGAAAAAGTACCATGTTCAGATTAGACTGAGTTAGACGGAAGCTCTGCTCCTTTGTCCCATTCGGTGTTGCTTGGTGCAGAAGCTGCCTGTTTGTCAATGTCATCAAGAAGATGCAGCAGAACTTGGTGTTGAGGTAATTGTATACTGGGGTCATTCCACGCTTGTGTCTTTTGTGGTTCCAGTGTATACAACGGCCTCCCTGCTCTAACGCCGTTTGGGTTTCGGCAGGTGATCTAGAAGGCTAGCGTCTCCAAGACAATGGTCGACATGTATCTGCCCGTATGTCCCCAGTAAAATGGGACTGCATGGCGCAAGCATTCCTGATCAGCTATCAGTGACGATGCACAACGACCCATGCACATTGTGCAGAGAGAAGGCGCGAGAGCGAGTCGTCTCCTCCGTTTCGGAAGATTGCAGACTGATGCGGGCGTTACAAGCGTGCCGCAAGACACAAGAGTTGCGCTAGTGATATGGAACTTGGTGTACCGAAGCCGCCCGGGAAGCATTAGAGCTATAAAGACGCGTGTATGGCCTACGTGGAAATGCATCACGCTTTCCAGCCCGTTCCTTTAGTGCTCTTCACTACACTCGTTGGATCTTTCAGCCTATTCCTGTTTGCTTTCTTCTTTCAACACTTCGTCATCGTTCGCTCCAACCATGTCATCTAAGACTCAATTGCAACACCGCCACCTGCCACGAAGCGTTATGTGGCTGCACGCGCCCATTGACAGATTCGCCATTCCTTGTATGAGCGACGCCGAAGGTATCACCACCATGCCGGTAAGTTCGGAGTAGCATTTGAGTTGGAGCATCGGCTGATCGTTACAGGTACCTGGTCGTCGCTGCCCTGCCTGTCTCGAACGTGGAGACACTGTCTGGGTGGTTCCAGGAAAGTGCTGCGCGCAGTGCGGTACCCCCGTCAACTGATGAGGACTCCCCACGGTGAGGATGTATGTCGCTCAAGTCCACACTGTTACTGATTGCTTGCTAGGACGAAGGTCGCTTCCAGACTTGAGATTTTGCTTGCTTTCAGCGGTCGGTATGGCCCGCATAGAGTGACTTCCGCATATTGCGCTTAGGGGTTGTTAGTCTGCATTTTCGAGTGTTGGTCTGGCAACGTTGTACTTGTACTTGGATTGGCGAGTTTGTATTCATATCCGATGGTGGCTTGCAAGCTGGTGCTGTTATGGACACTAGATTCGAGCTTAATAAATATGTGCCAGCCTAATAATCAGCAAGAATGTGAAACGATCGTGATTGGTCTTACCGAATGCCATGAAGCTGTCTGAGGTGAGAGTTCAATACGTGAAGTGTAGATTGTCGACTGTTGAGACAGCAATGTATACAATCTACTGTTCTACACAATGAGAGTGGACGTTTTGAAAACCGTCCAGGTCATGATGATGCTGGTGGGAGTAAACAAAGCTAGAAGTGGAAGGGCGAGGTCTTGCTTGGCGTCTCAGGGTCCGGGAAAGAGCGTGCGAGAGCTAACAGCGCTCAGGGCAATGGTGGGAGCTGATGAGATGCGTTGCCGTCTGCCTGAATAATCATTTTGTGGTTTTTATATTGAGAAACGATGAAGAGCAATCGAGTTGAACAGGATCGTGCGACGAACAAATACACGAATGGATTTAGGGAGGTAGATATCCAGCGGTGAGACGCACTTTGCTCAGAGAACAGCTAAACAATGACCTGCGCGTGCAATGTCGGGCCTGACCATGATATCCAGTAAGCGCCTGTTCACCCCATCCTATGTGGTGATGTATGCCTAACTCCAACGCCATATCCAGATATGTTACAGATTGTCAATTAACCCAGGAAACAAAGCTTGGTCATTATAGTCGTGTGGTGCGGGAGCGCAGAGGCCAGACCGTGCTTAGTGCAGCGGCTGGCCCGTCTCTATACTGCGTCTCGCTCGTTGCCCCATTTACCGGGCTGTTGGATAGTGTGTGGAGTATGGCGACGACGCGTTTATTTCCCCCCATTTTGTCGTTCATGTTGAGTCATGACCCATCGCATCTTGTCGCGGGTCTCCTTCAACGAGTCGACAAGCTTCTGCGCTTCTCGTTCCTTCTCTGGTAATGCGCGTCGCAGCCTCTCGGCTTCCTGTATGAGGCCTTCCATCTCTTTCCGGTGCTCCTTCTTGTATACCTCCATCATGTTAGTCAGTTTGGCTTCCGTTCGCGTCGATCGTGACGATTCGTGTTGTAGCTGATCGCTGATGATGGCTTGTCGCTTGATCTTATCGGCGTCTTCGATGCGTTTCCTCCGGAGCTCGTTGAGCTCGTCGTTGATCTGGCGCACCTTCTTCTCGTAGCCGTCGGTGATGCGCTTGAAGCCGTCTCGTGCAGTCTCGAGGTTCGTGTCTGCCATGCCCCTCATCTCGTATGCTTGTGAGAGTTGTCGTTGGGTCTCTGATCGTGTGTCGCCCAGCATCCTGAGCGCTTCCTCGGCTCGCTGCTCTGCTGACTTCCGTCTTTGTATCTCAGCGTCCAGTGTGGCCTTCAGCTCTTCCAGCTTCCGGTCTTTCCGTTCTATCGCCCTCGCATTGGTGTCGGCGAGCACTTGGAGATGCTGATACTCGGCGCGGGAGTCTTCGGCCTTGGTTTGTGCAGCCGACACACGCTTGGCTTCATCTTCCCGGGCGAGCTTCTCTGCCCTGAGTTCTCGTCGCAGGCGGTCATTCTCTTGTGTGATCTTATCAATGTATTGCGACGTCTTGGAGTTGGGGGTGCTGTAGTGGTTGGGGCGGTTCCACGAGCTGTTCTCATCGGGGCTCATGGGCGCCTTGTCGACGGCTAGCGGGCCTGAGACGTTGCGGGGCGTTGTGTACGAGGGCATGGTAGTGGTGGTCGAGGTCGTGCGTGCTGGTGCGGCGTTCGCAGTGCGAGAAGTGTCGTCGGTGGTCCAAGCTGACCCGTTCATGTCATTCCTCTTGCGGGCGGTGAAGTAGAGTTCGGGGAGCAATGGTGCCGTGTCTTTGTGTTTGGGGTTAGCATCGAACGTTGAGCAACAACGTTTCAGAAAGATGCATGCGGGAGTGCAAACAATGGCAATGTGCGGCGCAGGTGGGAAAGATGTTTATGCAGCGCCGTCAATCAGGATGATGGGTGATGCGCCGTGTTTGGGAGCACCAGGGGTCCACCCGGGCGCTAAACCTTACCTAGAACCGCAGTAACCGGGACTACCTTCCTTCTGCGAAAGGGAAGCAGCGGCATGCTTCGAGTGCGCACTTCGATGGGAGACGACATCTGTAAATGAGTCAGGCTTTGTTTTCTGCAAGTCGACAGTCGAGGACCAATGCTGCAGTGTATAGCAAACGCCCACCAAAAGCAACGACAGAACAGCAGGCTGGTCGACGGGAGCGTATGACTAACAACGTAGCTGGAGGGACTCATACCTTACAGATCGGCTCTTCTTGCAAGTAAAGGATCTTCATGGGCCTAGCAGCTGTTTTCTTGTTCTTTGCTGGTTAGTGTGTCAGACAGGCGACCAAGTTAACGGGCGAGAGATGGCTGGCGGTGATTGTTCGACCAGCAATGGGAGCAGCCCGCTCAAAAGAAGTCCATTTCAGAGTGAAAACCAGCCTAACCATTTGAAGTGCCTGCAAACATCCCCTTCACTTCACCCCAGGAAGATTCATCGTGAACTGGTTATGCTGGTGTAGCCGTTCGCCAATCAACGATGATCCCCGCTCAGGTACCCGCTGTCAAGTGGGGCTGAAACCCTGGCAACAGCCTTATGGGACGTGACGTGTGCGTTTCCACTACCACGAAACACCGCAATACGCCTAGGCTCGTTCACCTTTACGCGTTTATGCGGGAACCTCTGCTAAGTTTGTGAGTATCCTAGGAGACCCCTCGATGCCCCATGACTCGACGCTTTGATCTTTGATCTAGTCGTGAACGCCTCTTGCCACTGCTAATCACTCACTCACGATCTTAACACCGACCGTACTCGAAATGTCTCTCTATGCCGCCATGGTGATATCGGGGGTAATATACCCCACACGACATCACCGACGTGGCTGAACTCACCGCTTCCAGAACATTGCTGCATCGTGAGTCGTGGCTAAGTATTTGTTCTTTGCAGCTTCTCAGTTCCATGATATCAATAACACGAATGCTATATGCAGTAGACGCCGCGGCTGTACTACGGAGGCCCTTTGCCATGGTAGCCCACGTAGCTCCAAGGCCATATCGGGACTAACGGCGTCACAGTGAAAGTAAGTGTACCGGACTAGAACAACGACTAGACGAGCACTCTTCTGGAATCTCAAAGAGTGCAGCCGGCGTGAAAGGCAGGTACTGGATAAACAACACGGACTTGGCAATTGCAATCTCAGTCATCTAGTCAACGTACTGCTGTATTGAGTTCCCAGTAGGCTATAGCAGGGGTGATTTGGGTGTATATACGAAAGCAAAGTCTTTGGACTTCTATCATGAACCGGACTTCTGCCAGTCCTTCATGGTTTGTCTGTATACACACACGCAGAAGGATCACATGTTCTCTGGCAACCTACGCTAAGTGCGTTGCTTCGGCAGAACAGCCTGGAGAAGCACCTGGAGTCACACGTCAATAGCAAATCTGAACATCATCACGTAGGTACCACAACAAAGCGGCGACAGCTACAAATGAAACGGATATCATTCCTTGTGTATCTACATCTAACAAGCCAGCTCTCGTTCTATCTAGAACATGTCGGGCGCCTTCTTGACACGGGTCTTGCCCTCGAATGGCTGCTCAGAAGAGATCTGGTTGTTCCTCAACTTCTCCAGCTTACGCTCGTTATCCTCGTTTGCAAGCTTCTTGTACTTCTCAATAACCTTGTCCATCTGGACTTGGCTTCCGGCGGGGACGTTGTAGGGCGATCCAACGTTCATGATCCTGTGCTTGTTAGCCTCGGTTGTTCGTATTAACGCCTCCTCCATCTGCATCGCTTCGCCTTGATCTCGGCTTGAGCCTTCTTCTCTTATAGCCTAGTATGCCACATTCTGAAAATTACGTACTCAGGGAACTTCATATCGACATATTCCTGCGGCCGTGTGTTCAAGAACAGCACCCTGTCCTCACCCGCCTGCTCGATCATACGCACGTGGTGGTCGTTCTGCGAAGTCCACTTCTCGTGTAGGCCGGCCGTAGCATTGGCGATCATGCGGGTGAAATACGGCTCGTTGTTTTCGCCGTCCGTTCGCGACATAAAATAGACAGCCATTCCCGCGGGGATGACACCAATTGTCATATAGAAGCCGTACTACATGCCAATTAGGTTAGCCATATGCTTTCTGAAGTATTGCGATATCGTGGGGGAGGTCTGAGACCATTCGGGAGGGGTAGAGAGTGGTTGACATACACCCATGGGCTCGTCGACGGCTGGGCTCGGGTGCCCGTGGGCGTGTTCATCGTGGGCGAAGCGGCGCGATTGGCGCGGAAGCGAGGTTCGGCTCGTCCTGGCAGCAGCCACTGCTGTTCTACGTAGTGACTGCATTGTGAGGTTGCTGGCGGTCGTTGATGTCGCTAGGGTTCGCGATGATGCTGAGCTCGAGATCCGCTTAGTCATGCGACCTTGGTGGCTTGGCAGTACGGCTCGCTTCTCTGTGAACCATTTTCACAGCTGCGTCCCAGTCTTGCATGGGCAGCATTCTGCATTGTCGAACCATGAAACTATGTTCTGATTCGTAGCTCTTCTAAATCTTTCAAACAAAGGGTTCTCCGGAGGTTCGTCACGTCAAGTCAAGTCTGTGCGCCGACTTACCAGTTTTGGTCTTGATCACTCATGGTAGGTTGCAATGAGCTATTTTCGAAGGTGATCTTTCAACGCCGCCTCGTTGCATCATCTCAAGATGATGCGGACATCTGTTGCATCAAATCATGTGTGCAAATAGCACGTATGAAGGTTTGCAGGCAATGACACGATTAGTGAGCAACCCCTCTCTGTTGGTGGTGTTGCTCCCAAACTTGCAAGCATGAGATATGGCAAGATGTATAGCAGCAATATTTGCAGACAAACTGTTAGTCCACATGAACTACCATCTCTGTGACATCAAGAACACTGCATAAGCTACGAGTTAGGGCGTTAGCACTGTAGCGATATCCTAACCTGGAACACCAGATATGGTGAAAGACGATACAAAGCCTGAGACAGCGACCTTGGAATGCAAAGCGACAAGCGCATACTAATGATCAGTAACCATTTGCCTTCTTGTGCCATTGACAGCGCTATGTTCAGCCCTTGTATCACGTGAGCATCCTAATCGGGAAACGACCGTCCGAACCTCGGTATCTTCTCCGCAGAACACCTATGGGGGATCTGTGCGGACACGAACTACAATAACACGAGCGAGCCATGGCTTCACTCCCAATCTCTTCAGCTGTCAATCTTCCACCGAAAGAACGATCGCTCTCAGTACCCTACTCAAGGTCACTACTACGCAAACCCACTGGATTCTCTTTATAGATCTATTCCCATCTCATTGTCAAAACCAGAGGAGTTACCATCATGCCCACTTACACATCAATCCATCTTGCCGAACGGCCACAGGACGCTGTTGTCGCCGGCAAGACCTTCACACCAAAACAGCAAGAAATCCCATCGGCGTCGTCCCTCAAAGATGGTGAGGTCCTCTTCCAGACACTTTACCTATCACTTGACCCAGCGATGCGCGGCTGGCTGAACCCGACGCGTTCTTACATTCCTCCTGTGGAGATTGGCGCAGTGATGCGCGGTAGTGGAATTGGCCTCATTGTCGCAAGCAAGAGCAAGAAGTTCCCGGTTGGCACATATGCGACTGGTATGTGCGGGTGGTCTGAATACTCCGTACTTAACGAGAAACATGTCGAATCACTGGATCTGCCAGAAGGTGCTGTGCCAACTGACGCGCTGGGCGTGTTGGGTATGACTGGTCTCACTGCCTACTTCGGTATCCTTGAGATTGGTCAAATCAAAAAGGGAGACTTTGTGGTTGTCAGCGGCGCAGCTGGCGCTACTGGAACTGTCGTTGGTCAAATCGCAAAGTTGAAGGGCGCAAAGGTTTTGGGTCTTGCTGGCGAGGACAGCAAGGTGTCGTGGCTGAAGGAGGAGCTTGGCTTCGACGAGGCACTGAACTACAAAGACCCCCAATTCGCGAAGAAGTTCAGAGATGCCACCAAAGACCTGATCGACGTCTACTTCGACAACGTAGGTGGAGAGATTCTCGACCTCGCTCTCTCACGAGCCAAGCCTTTCGCGCGGTTCGTCATGTGCGGTGCCATTTCAGAGTATAACAAGAAGAAGCCTCAGGGTCCAAAGGTACTTTACCTGTCAATGCTTGACATGCCGAATATGTTACTGACCTCCCATGCAGAACTACATGATGATCATCTCCATGCGTATTCGTATGCAAGGGTTCATCGTTTTCGACTTCGCAGACAAGTACGCGGAAGCAAGGAAACAACTTGCTCAATGGCTCTCAGAAGGCAAGCTCAAGCGGAAGGAGACAGTCATCAAGGGAGGTATCACCAAAGCGGAGGATGCACTAGTTGGATTGTTCGAGGGAAAGAACACTGGTAAGCATGTCTGGTCACAACTGGGGAGTGAAATCACTAACGACTACAGGCAAAATCATGGTGCAGGTGGCGGACCCAGAAGCTGTCAAGGCAAAACTGTAGAGGCGAGAGGAACATCAAATGAAACAAGTTTTTACTCTATGATATGCAGTCCTAGTCGGAGTGAATGTGCAACCAGTCAAGGCTGCTGAATTGTCTTTGACTTTCCATGCTCACGAGCAGAAAGTCAATAAGATCGAGTGCGCCTTCCTTTCCAGTATGTGAGCTCTTACGAGGGCTAATTGCAGAACTCGAGTGACTTGGAAGCGTGTACACTAAGGAATTTTTTCTATCTATTTGAGGCCGCAGAACGAATTCAAGCTGGTGTTGCCACGTGAATATCGCTGGTGTAAAGCCTAATCTTGATCGAGGCTAGCATGCTCTTGACTGTGCTATTCTTCCCAAGATGAGACCACTGCACCCCGCACCTCGCAAATCTAGTATCCAATGCCATAACTTGTTCCCTTTGTATTCGCAATGACCGAACTGCCACAATTTATCTACGACCAATTACCCCCCGGCCATATCCGTTTACTTACGCCCACATCTTCGTTATCCAAAGATGACCAAAGCTGGAGCCTACAGACTGTCAGCCTTGAGCAACCAGACCTTGCATATGATGCACTATCTTATGTTTGGGGATCACGAGCCGACTTATTCCCAATCACCTTAAATGGGCGCATTTCGTATGTGCACCGCAATCTACGTTCTGCACTTTCTTGCCTTGCTGAGCGAGGGAATGCTCGACCTGTACTGCCAATTTGGATCGATGCTATCTGCATCAACCAAGCGCACCACCAAGAAAAGATGATCCAAATCCGGGAAATGAACCGCATTTATCGACACGCAGCGAAGGTATGGGTGTGGCTTGGCATTTCTGAGCATCCAGAGCGTATCTCGGAGGCCATGGATTTGCTCGTTGTGAAGCTTGCCAAGGAAAATCGGATACTAGATCTTGACAGCATTCATCCTCCACTAAGATCAACGATCTGCCACCTCATGATGAACGATTGGTTCCGAAGACTTTGGGTCGTGCAAGAAGCGGCGTTGGCTCGAGAGATCAGCTTTATCAGTGGAGATGTCGAGTTGCAATGGTCAGACATGAAGGAGGCGATGGCTAACACAGAAAAATATATCCTGATGAACGAGCAATGCTCATCAACGACATTCTACGCTCGGTCGTGGGCGCAATTGTATTGGAATGACGCGGAGCTTCTTGGTGTTAGTCCTGCATCCATTTTGATGAATGTTGCGTCTCTTGTAGCAGAGACACAAGAATGTACTTGGCCCGAGGATCGTATCTTTGGACTGTTGGGCTTGGTGGATCAGGACGACTTGCTGGGCACTTCTCTTGATACCGAAATAGTTTATACTTCCTATCAAGATCTGTTCACGCGCTTCAGCGCTTACGTACTCACGGAGTACCCAACTCAAAACGGAATCGAATGGTGGAGATGGCTCAGTCTGGCCTTCGGACCTGAGAAATGTGAGGGTCTTCCATCTTGGGTCCCGGACCTTCACGCTATCAGTAAGACGATACATTCAGGAGCCGACTTGGAATTTAGAGTACCTTCTTATCAAGCTGCCACTAGGTGGAACAACAAACCACGAGGCGGCCTGAAAATTGGGCAGTTAGTACTCCGAGGTAGAATCTTGGACGAGGTTGTTACTGTATTTGAACCGATACCCATGGATGGTGGATCTTATCTGGGTGGGTCTTCAGCTAGACAGAACGAGATACTGATGGCTGTGGCGAAATGGGAGGAGAAATTGGCTCATGCCGTAATGCATAGTCTGAGTTTCGAGACGAGACAAGAAGATTGTGTAGGTCTCAATCGTGACATTACCCTCGATACGTACTGGCGTACATTGATCGGCAACAACGCATCTGTGCAGGATGAAGCGGTCATGCAGGATTGGTATGATGACTTCCGAGCCATAGGCCGAAGCTTTAGGAAGATCGACACTGCTCACGAAACTGAGAGGTAATACAATCTCTCGTGATCCAGATCACGATTATGGATGCATATCACTAACGCAGCTCAGATCGTATACGAGTCTACAACATCCGGAGACGCACACGGCGGAATCGCGTTGGCAAGAGGCCTCTAGCCAAAACAAGCGATACAAGAACGCCTGTGACTTTTTAGTTCTCATGAGCATCCTTCACTATAAGCAACTATTCGTAACTAGGGCAGGACGACTTGGATTCACGACGACAGGAGTGCGGCCAGGTGATATGCTCTCTGCATTAAATGGATCACCCGTACTCCACGTTCAAAGACGCGTACCTACCGAAGATAATGCAGAGATGATGGCTTTCGAGTTCGTAGGAGGCGCATACGTACACAGCCTGATGAACGGAGAATCGGATGATATAAATGCAAACGAAGAGGATTTGATATTTGTGTAGTGTCATCAATGGTTTTGAGTGGGAAACTGCCAACGTGGCAAAGTTTCGATGAAAATGGGGGTGACAGAAAGAAGCGCAGGAACTTAATGAGGTGCATCACTTAGTCCACAAAAGCATATGATATGGTGGGTTGATACGTAATACCAGGGTTCGAAGTTCCTGCCAAATTCCGATTAAGAGTAAGAGGATATAAGAGATGGATTTATCAAATGGTACCTGCAGAGACGCCCCCGCGCTAGCCCCACGAGCCATGGCACGTGCGCTAAACTTTCAAAGGCCGCTGCCATTCCCTTCCCCACTCAGTCTGATCAAACTTCGGCCCTCATCCTGTCAAGGCATGTTATGCTTCGAGCCCTCTCACGATCGATAACACGAACCATGGCCTCCAACGAGCCCGCCCGCGTCCCCATCCCCAAGAATGGCGTCGACTACCGTGGCAAAGTGGTGCTTGCGCCCATGGTGCGCTCCGGTGAGCTGCCCTCACGCCTCCTCGCACTCAAGTACGGCGCCGACCTGGTCTGGGGACCCGAGACCATCGACCGCGCCATGATTGGCACCACCAAGAGACTCAATCCACACACGCAGACGCTGGAGTTCTCGCGCCTGCCCACTTCAAAGATCAAAAACCCCACGCTCGATCCCGAGAACCGCGAGAGCGTCATATACCGCATACATCCAGAGCTGGAGAAGGGAAAGCTCATATACCAGATTGGCACGGCGAGCCCGGAGCTGGCAGTGCAGGCAGCCAAGATGGTGGCAGCGGATGTCGCGGGCATTGACGTTAACTCCGGCTGCCCCAAGCCCTTCTCCACATCTGGTGGTATGGGCGCAGCGCTGCTGAGGACGCCAGATCTGCTTTGTAACATCTTGACAAGTTTGGTTGAAGAAGTAGGAAAGCCATTCGAGATCGGCATCAGCGTCAAGATCCGAATCCTAGACACGCCTGAAGAAACCGCGGCACTGGTGAAGAGACTTGTGCGCACCGGCATCACGGGTCTCACCGTACACTGCCGAACGACACCCATGCGACCGAGGGAGCGCGCCATCAGACATCAACTCAAGATGATTGGAGAGATATGCCACGAAGCAGGCGTCGCATGCCTCATGAACGGCGACGTCACATCGCGCACCGAAGCCTTCAAGCTCGCAGAGGAGTTCAACGTCGACGGCGCAATGATTGCAACCGAAGCCGAAAAGAACCCCAGCTGCTTCCGACCCGACGCAGAGGGCGGCCCTCACGAGTGGCGGTCGCAGTGGAAGACCGTTGTCACCGAATACATGCGTTTTGCACTACAAGTGGAGAACCGCTGGGGCAACACAAAGTATCTGCTCAGTCAGATGATACCTGGGAAGGAAAAGGCATATGCGGCTATGAACAAGTCAAAGTGCTACACAGACGTCATCAAGGCGCTGGGCTTGGAGAATGTGGATGACTTGTTGCAACAGGCAAACACTGTTGACGAGCATCTGGGTATACCCATGAACGAATCGCGCGCTTCCAAGCGGGCGAGAGTCAAGGAAGCCCAGAAGTCCGACGGAGATACTCAGAAGACAGAAAAGCGCAAGGAGCGGGAGGAAGAAGAGCCCGAAGCTAAACGCATCAAGGTACCTGAGGTGGAGCCTGAAGCAACTATGGCCCTTCCTCCACAGGAGATGACAGCTCCTGCTGCGCTGAGCGTATGATTCATGTCACGATATCTGGGTTAGGCGCGTATCTATTTGGGCATTCCAGGCGTATTAAGCATTTACAGAGGCGGGAGGAATCACTCTCGGATGCCGACGGTCAAGGCTAGGGACTTATGAAATCACACACCAATCTACTCTACACCTTTCCCCTACCATGTCGTGATGGTTCTCCAAAGCACTGCGTTGGAGTGAACCCCAGTTACCTAACAAACGTGATGAAAGGAGACCGGCCAAGTAGAAAACACTGTCGTGAGGGCTATCTGGAGGTATGCCACTAGGACTAAATTTGAGCACACTGACATCAAATGACTATCATATTCATTGCTGGTGCCTTACGAAGCTTCCTCACGTCGTGCGTCGCACTGCCACTAGCACAATAAGATTGTGGACCGTGGATGGCCAAGACTAATTAGCTGCGAGCATCGCGCCAACTAGAATGCCTTAGGCTTGCTTTCCCCGCCTTCCAAAACTCACCGGCTGCATTTCACAGCCTCAACGTGCCTACGATCCAGACACAGCATCTGAGCACGCCTCCACAAGCGGAACTCTTCGAATGCACGGATGACGTGGCGCGATTCTGGCCCCCAGTTGACGCAGACAAAGCTCCGCCTCGATGCAGAGCCGCGGCCCTTTGAAAATGTCGAATGATCGCTTCCTTCGTCCCGTCTCAGTTACGACCACACACCCTGAGACTCTGGGGCTACTGCATCGTTTGCCAGTTTGTCAAATGAAGATGAATTAATAGTTTTTCTGTGCTTTAATATCAAATTATCACGCACAGCCATTGTAATGGCCAACGAAGGCGTCGATACAGTCCAGATGGCGACCCTCGCCGAGGCTTCCACGGCCAACAAAACCTCCGTTGCTGCGACCTCAAGGACTATCACTCCGAGCCCAGCCATTTCGAAAGACGAAGGGCCGTTGATTGGATCTTGGCTGTGCGCCGATGGTAGAACATCTCTTG